TAATGAGAGTCTGAGTACCGCGGAATATGGTGGACACTGCCTTGAGAACAAGATCGATCATTTCTTGTGAGCATGGAATTTGTATAACTCCGTGATCACTAATATGAGTCCAATTAATGTAAGTCATATTCCACTCTATGGTTGGACATATAATGATAATGTAATCGAAAACTCTATTGTACTCTGTTTCTAACATATTAAGTAGGAACTGAGTTTTTCCGCTTCCTGTCATTCCTACTATGAGCATGTTCAATGGTTGCATCTCTATGCTTTACCATTAGTATTGAATACTTGATAGATCTCTATTAGCAAAGTTAAGGAGAGCATCTGATACAACAAAAATGTTGCACTGAACGTCAGCTGTTGTGGCTCTCTTTTTGATTTCAAGGAGTACTCCCGACTGTGTGTTAACAATCTTCTTACCTCCACCAGTGGTATAATCTTGTGTTGACCTAAGATCGATTACTAGAGCGAAACCGTTGCTGAAGAACTTACTGATGGACATAAATTCGTCTGCCATAGACTTCTCACACATAGGGCAGAAGAATCTTTTTGCCTCTTCGAAGAACCTATTTTTGTTAAGTCCTTGGGAAAAGACTGCATTAGGCACACCCTCAATGGTCAGGTTCACTTTATCAATGTTTGGGTAAATATGTTCTTCAGAATCAGTTCTCACTCTATTGGTAAATAGAAGGACAATTGCTGACATGCTCTTCCTGGGGATATTGATATTCTCATTGACAATGGTAAGATCTTTGTCCCAATTACTTGTTCGCATTAGTGTGACGTGTTTGTAGGACAATGAGCGGCCCGTTGAATACATCCTTGATACTTCACTTGCAAGGGTGTCATTCTCAATGGTCTCGTATTCTAGCTCAAGATTGTCCAGTTTATAATTACCCTTAGCTTCACCTCCTTGAGCAGTCATAATTTCATCTGATTGCGGGAGTGTGAGGATGTACATAGGATTGTTATTCATGGAGAACGGTGTGTAGAGTCCATGGTCTGCAATTATCTTGTCAATTGGTTTCCTCAGCTTAGAACCGTACACACTGTGGAGAAGTGCATCTGCTACTTTATTGGCATCACCAACTTTTGCTCCTGAGTCATCACCTGATATTAGCTTCCTAAGATTCTCACTTGCAAGACCCTGTTCAGTCATCTTATTTCTGTCACCAACAGTTAGCCATAGATCTTTGTATATTTCGTACAAACTCTCTCCTGAACAGTCATAAGCTGTTTCACCTGCTACTTTAATCTGAAGACATTTAGCTATCAACTTAGACAGGTTGTTATTAAAGCAGCTTTTTGTATTGGAATTTTTGAAGTCAAATAATAGTGCAAATGATCCTGGGACTAAACAAGAGTCAGGCTTTAGCTTGGGGATGTTAATGTACAGCTCTTCACCTGGGCTAATAGTTGTTGGATTAAAAGTTACAACACTTCTAGTTCTGGGACCTTTTACGGATGTCATACGGCTCCTCCTGAAGCCAGGTTGGAGTTCTCTTTCTGTGGTATTCATACTTGTATACAATATGTAATGTTTAGCTGTTCATGTAAAGTAAAATTATTCCGATACCTACAGCTACCACCCATAAGTTTGATGATATGAATTTAATCAATTTGCTTACTATATCAGGAAATGGTGACGGTGAAGGACCTCCGCCTCTGTGAGTTGAGTTTGCTGTCATTGAGGATAGTTTTCTAGTTTGTATGATAATAGCTGTAAGGAGAGCAGCAACTGACACTATAATACCTGCAAGCACAAATCCGAAGTTATCTTTAACCCATGACTTGAATCTTTCATACCTCGTAAGATCTTCCCTAACATCCTTCAACATGATTTCTGTACTATCATCGCTAAATATAGGTTGATCATCTTCTGGGATAGTATCCTCTGCGACCTGGAATAGGAGATTCTCAAAGTTGAAAGTATCCTTTATCCATTCAGTGTCTACCCCAGGTAGAGGCTCCTCAGTCTTCTTACCTCTGCTGACCTTTTTGGGTTCCTTGCCTCTGTAGGGCTTTTCTATCTTGGGTTCCTTAGGTTCGTCCTCAACCTGAGGTTTCTTTGGGAAGATCTTAGGTTCTTCCTTAGGTTTAGACTTTTCTTTTTCCCATTCCTCGAGCTTTTTCTTCCAGTACTCTGTTTTCTTCTTATCACCCCTGGTGGTTTCCTGTAGTATTTTAATCTCAGCTTCCTTACGCTCAGCCTCAGCTTTTCTCTGACGTTCGGCAGCTTCTTCTGCAGGCCTCATACGTTCTAACTCAGCAGCCTTCCTACGGTCCTCTTCCTCCTTCTTCCTAACTTCTTCTTTCCTACGTTCTTCTTCCTCTGCTTCTAACTCTTCCTCGGGCTCATTAGGATCGAAACCCAGGTTTTCTATAATACCCTTCAGCCTATCTATTTTTCCCGAGTAGTCATTCCTTCTAACTTCAGCCTTAGCTATTCTTCTGAGTACTACTAATGTTTTTACCTCTTCCTTGAGAGTACCATGTGTCGCGTTTAAATAGGCCTCTGTTTCTTTATTCCTAGAAATCCTCATTCTTTTTAGATGACTGACGTACTCAATTTCTCTTTTAATATCCTCTTTTTCTTCGGGTTGCTCAGAACCCGTTATCTTCCTTCGGAGAATGTCTATTTCAGAGTCCATTTCTTCGGGATTCATTTCCCTATAGCCGGGATATAATCTGTTCAACTCATCCAGGTCCTCAGTTCCTAAATTTCCTTCCCAAATCTCCGAGTACTCGTTATTATATTCATCAAGAATGGCACTTACCCTTTCCATCCATGCCGCCTTATATTTTATGCTCTCAGCCATTTCTAATACTTTACTTACTGTAATAATTATATACTATTAAGGCCGCAGCTACAGCTAGAACCCATAAATTAGACGCTAACCAAGCAATTCCTTTGGCTCCCCATGATAGCGCCGTTGCAATTGCGTTCAGGATTGGAACTAGAATTGGCCCTGCTTTCTTTGCTAAATTTGCTAATGCTTTTGCTACTTTACCAGTGGCCTTTGCTGTCTTCACAATGGCTCCCCTAGCATGGATCAATAAGGCTGTAATTAAACTAGCTGTTGACACTGCTATCCCCACAAGTCCCACCTTTTCCTTTTCTACCCAGTCTATAAATCTACGTAATCTGGAAATATCTTCCAACTGTGCCTCTCTTGCTTCCTCTTGTTCTCTGCTCAGTGTCCTATCCCTAGCTTCCTTCAAACTGTCAATTCTTTCTATAAGGGAATTATACTCAGTTGTACCCTCAGCTTCGGTGGCTCGTTCCACGGTTTCACCAATGGCTTCATTAAAGTAGTCAGCCTGGATTTGCAACGCTCCATTGGGGCCTGTTCTGCCTTCTATGCTTGATCCATCAGGTGGGTTAAGTACTCCTCTCAGTTCATTATTTTCTTGCATTGTTAGCCCTGGAAGGTCTCCTAGTTTTGCACCTATGTCTATTAATTCAATATTCTCGCGATTAGCGTATTCCTCATCACTGTCATCAAATTGTGGCTCTTCCCTAGTATCCTCATAAATTGATTCTTCACTTGTAATTCTAGCGTCAGGATCCATAGGGGTCTGCTTGATTTTCTTTATAAGTTCCTTATATTCTCTCAAAGCGGGTGAGTCCTTTGAGTACACTAGAGTCTTGGTATTACCAAGTTTCATTATCTGGGTCCCACTTTTTTCAATACCTTGTTCACTCCTAAACACTAACACCTCCGTGACATCTTTGAGTGTTCTTACAGATGATCTCCTGATGAGTTCCCTGACATATCTATTCTTAGGGTCTAGTATCAGTCCCTCCTTACCCTTGATAACTCTTACGACGGCATGAACACGTTCTACTTGGTTTTCGAAATCTCTCTTTTTATTTGCTGTGAGTCGGTCTTCTGAGAACTTTTTCAGTTTACTCAGACGGATCTCTATATCATCCCATTTAGTGTCAAATGATTCATCAAATGCATCTAGCACGTCTGGAAGTACATTGTTTGGGTCTTCCACGAAGTTGACTCCTGGGACGGGTGTGCTTCCTGATGGACCTGAAATGTTCACTGTACCATCATTTCCTTCGGTAAAAGTTGTTTCTTCTATTTCACGTCTCTCCATGAGATTCTTTACATAGTCTAGTTCACTTTTAAGATTGGTTATCACTATAGGATCATCACCATACATAGCCTCTCCCTTCACCTTTGTATCTAACCTACTAAAAGCTGTTGTTAGGTCATCATAATTGAGGTCGTCATATTGAGGATAACTTTTTTCTGTCTCCTCCAACTCAATGTCATCGTAGTCCTCCATAATACTTTAACTTATGTTAGGGACTTGGTGTCTCCAGCTGGTATCCAACTGTTAAATTTGTCATCATAACCTAACCACTTAACTAGGGCCATCTTTTTACCCTTCAATGTTCTTCTCCTCAATACTTTCTCTATTCTGAAATCAGGTTCTCTTCCTTCAGCGCTATACAGTTCTTGTTCATAGAATCTGCCAATTATTGGTTCATCAGCACTGTCTTTTATTGTGTACGTGTTTGGATGGCCGTGATACACTTCCGTCACAGTGAACAACTCCTCTGTGAAATTTGCTTCGTACCCTTTTGTGAACACTGATTTGTACTTTGAGATCCTGACACTTTCTCCGACAGCAAACTTTGGTTCTGACGGCTTGCCTAAATTGTGACTAAAAAGTGTCTGCCATACTTCAGTCCAGTTGGACTCATTTACACTGTCCGGTGTTGTTTTAATTGATCTGTTCACTGAACTGTTGTAATTATCAGTTAAGTCTTGAAGGACGTCTAACCATTTATATGTACTGGCACTGTAAAAGTACTTCCACATTAGCGCTTTCAGTGTTCTGTTAAACCTTTCCACAACTGCGGCCTTTTTGTCTGAGTAAGTAGAGAAAAACTCAATGTTATGTTTATTAAGCAATGACTTTACTTCTTTGTTGTAGAACTCTGTACCCTGATCAAACTGGGCGAATTTTGGGTATTTACCAAAATGATTATTAAATTGCTCTAAAATGTTACTGACTGCATCCTTCATTGATGTCGCGTTTTTCCTATACACTGGTACTGTGAATGCGTACCTACTCAGTATTTCGATGGATGTAAGAATCCACCGGTATCCCTTGTTCTTGTCGTCATATTTTGTCATGTCAACTAAATCCATTTGTAACTGTTCACCTAAAGTTTGGACGTACGTCTGTCTGAACTTATGTCTCCTAAACACTTGTTTGTACCTAGTGTATGTGTCTTGCTCGTTTATCCATTTGTTGACCTGGTTTCTGGTTACTTTAAGTCCGTCTGATACTGCTCTAAGATATAGTTTCTCTGGTGTTTAAAATCCAGTCTTAGGACTGTAGTAAATATCTCGTAGTCCTTGTTCTTTCATAATATCGTCGTCCATCTTATATTAACTAATGTAAGCTAACTACTCAAGGTACATCTCAAGTAGCACTTCACCTATATCAATAGGTTTCCCATCTTGATCAGTCATGTGGAATACAAGTTCTGAGAATGAACCCTTAATAACAGAAATCCTGCTTTCAACATCGATGTAACTAACTACCGAGCCTAATAATGGTCTGTCTGTTGGAATTGTAACACTTGTTATTACATCGCTGGGTCTTCCCCAAGAGTTAACGTTGTAGCTGTTACTTACTAGATTGCAGTGTACATTTACACATAGTAGACCGTTATTAAAGTCAACTTTGCTATCACTTGTCAAACTCCTTCCTTTTAGCAGAATCATAGGATTATTAAATCTACTAAAACCTAACATAGTCAGTAATCGTGTTTCTATTGTGGTATCTTGTTTTACTGCTTCTATTTGACATCCTGCTGTTTCAGCAAAGTAGGTTAGCTTAACACCGTGTCTTTCAAGTAACTTCTTCATACTGTCAAATGTGTAGTAACCTTTATTAACAATTACATCAGATTCTCCATCATCTGTTTTCACTTTGAGAATAGTTGTTGGTTCCCTTATGTTGAAGTACTCCCAGAAAACTGATACTTTCTTCACAAAGACTGATTTATAGTTGCTTGTTAGAACTGAGTTCTGTAGTGATACAACTGTGTGCGAACTCTGGAGTAAAATTGTGAACTTCATCTTAATAACATACGTTAGGTTATTAAGAATGAGACTAGGTGGAGGACAAGTTGGCAAGTCGCCGTATCGGTCGTACCAAGAATATGAAAAAAAGTATGGAAATCATGTTGATCCTGTTGCTGGTAAAAATGCAGAGAATGCTGAGAGGGCTAAATTTATGTCAAGTTATCCTTTTGCAGATATGAGAAGATTTAAATTCGAAGCTATGACTACAAGTAGTGGTGATATTGGTGTTGTTACATGGTTTGTGGATTTAGATGGTATATCTTCATATGATATTAGATATGACGGTTTTAAGAAGGATAAGGAGTTTACATCTTATCTCACAGGTACTAAGAAAATTATTACTCCCGCACAGTTTATACCTATGACTGACATGAAACAGCCTCCCATTGAGAAAGTACCTAAGGTGACAACACCTTCTCCCCTGAAACCAAAAGGATGGCCACATCTTTGGAATAGTAATGGCACCGTTCAAAAATATGAACCTCTTGTATTTCCAAAGGATCCTACTTACGATGAAAGAAAGTTAGGGCTAAGTAGGGTTCTGGTTCATGATGATGGCTATCATATTAATACATATCGACCTCCTGTAAGTCTTCCCTACAACTTTAACAACTTTAAGATCTATGTAAATGAAAACAGTTATTTCATGTCTAACTTCCCTAATGCTGGTGTAGGTTGGTATGAAGGTCCTAATTTAACTAATAAGGATGTAAGAAAAGTTCCCTTTAATACGATACCATACACTAGAATGTTGTCTGGCGCTTATATAGCTAGCTATCTCAGTGGTGTATCCTTGGAACACGTTCGTGAATGTAATTCCGTTCCTAAAATAATAACATCCATTATGAGGTATCATCTTTACTACACAACTAGAAAGTTAACAGTTAGTAAGGATGCTATTGATAGACTTGGTGTCAACCTTGATATTGTAAGGAAACACATTCCAATAAATCAGAATTATATTATTGACGGAAGTGGTGCTACAACTAGTGCAGGACCTTTGTCTGGTAGTGATTACCTTTCATTCATAGCTGAAAAAAGCAATGGCTTTACTAAGTTAGGCGTTGAGCTTATTCAGGAAAGTATTGAGTCCTATGTGTATGCTATGTTGGGATCTCAAGCTAATACAAGGTGGTCAATAGAAGGAAACGGTCCAAAGGCTCTTCAAACGCAACGTGAATTTAGAACTATTGTAAAGTCTACTATTTTACAAAGTAATACGGTAACAACAATTAGCAATATGAGGAAAGCTGTGAGGGACACCAATGTAATCCTGAACACTGCTTTATCCCCTGGAATAGTTCTAATCCCATCAAACTTTATTATTCTAAAAACTCCGATACTCGGTTATAATAACCTTCTAAAGACGGCAACTAATACAATGAAATTTGGGGTTAATCCTAAGGTAAATTATGTTGGTGTTAAGCAAGTTGATCCTCCAAAGAAACAGCATCAAAATAGCACACCAGTTCACCACCTTGATACTCTTAGTGGAAATGTGAAAGTTCCGGGAAGTTCTGTAAGTGTTGCACCTCAGGTTGTTCCTAAGACTAGCACGCCTATCGCTCAGCGTGAGTCCCTAGGTGACGGCGCTCTAGCTGGACTTGGTATCGGGTCTGTTGCTGTGTTTCTTATATTGAGAACTGTTCTGTGAAACATTGTGTATG